CTCCTCCTCATCATCATCTTCTTCGTCCTCACTGCTCTCTGAGGCCTTCTCTCTTTCTGTGTGTTTCTGTGCACTCCTGCTACCTTTGCTGTCTGTTGCTTTGTGGTTCGGCTGAGGAACTTCAGAGTCCAGCTTCTGTTTTTTAACCTCACTTCCCTCCTCTTCCATTTTCCGTCTCCTCTGACACTCCTCCGTCTCTGATCCCTCGTTCACTGCTCTTGTACCCTGGAATGCAGGCAGCGGCGACGTGACGACTTTTCTTTTCTTCTTTTTCTTCTTCTTCTGTTCGTCCTCGCTGCTGTCGTCCTCCATGAGGGCGGCGAGGATCTCCTCCGGCGTGGTGCCTTTCTTGGGCGTCGGTCGTTCAGCCGGAGCGGACGTGAGCTTAGTTTCTTCCTCGGTTGTTGAGGCCTGCTGGAATTCTTCAGCTAGCTTCTGCAGATCAGCCAGGGAGATCTCCAGACGGGTGACGTTGGAAAACATGGCGTCATAGTCAGAATCTGAACTGGAATCGGATTCTAACTCCTCCTCGTCTTCATCACTATCTGATTCTGATTCAGATTTTTCAACAGGAAGGACTGTCATCTTCTTACTTTGGCTCTGAGAGCTGTGTTTACCAGACTGCCCTCTGTGCAGTGTGGAGGAGGGTTTCCTGGAGGTGAGGTGCTCTTCATCCTGTGAATCCTCCTCTTCCTCTTCAGCTTTACTTTTCGTCTTTGTCTTCCTCTTCCTGTCTGTGTTGTGTCCTGACTGGTGCTCTGCATTGGGTAGAGTGAGTCTCTCCTGCTGTGGAGGAGGCGGTTTCTTGGAGGCGAGGAGTTCATCCGTGTCCGCCGAGTCGTAGTCGTTCTCTTCTTCATCATCTGCAAACCAAAAGCCACATATTTACAGCAAACATACAAAAGGAGCGTTTGTCTGATCACTGGATACATCCTGAGCTTCAGGCACTAAATCTGATTTATCTTGATCTGAAGTTTTTATTCTATTACCTTATTTTCATTGTCCTACACATAATTCTTACTGGTTATTATTATTGCAGATAGACCAATAAATCAACCTGGATGATATATAGGCCAATATTAGCTTATCACAGCTGTACTGTATTGTTCGAAAGCTTTAGATTTGAGAAAGCCAACAGAATTAAAAATACTTAATTATAGTTATTTTTAGAGGATATTTCACCCAAATTAGGACATATATTCTATAGCTTCTATAACTAGTTGTACCTGTCCAGTCTCAGTTACCTTTCTGGTGCTGACGGGAACGTCCGGACTTCACCAAGTAGTCGAGTCCGACCACTTCCAGGTTATCCTCGTCCTCTTCCTGCTGCAGTGCAGCGTGGGAGGTGTTCTGAGCTGCAACCATTCTGCAGATTTCCTCGTCTGAATCAATATCGCTGTCTGCCCCCCTCCTCTGAGCCGGTCTGTGGTTGGTCGGTCGTTCATTTCCGTTGGTGAACTGATGAGCCTCAGCGTGCACGACAGAGACAACAGTCTGCTTAAATCTAAGAAGAGGACAACAAAGAGGAGATGACAATGTTTAATTTTGATTTAAAAAAGTCATAATTATTCATTACCAAATTTAAAAAGGAACTTCAAATTAGAAATACAGACAAAGTAATCAGGAATTGACCTAAAAAACACACGTAAAAGTCACTAAATTCTAGACTCGAGTCAACGTCTCTGGTAATTATGCTGGATTTTCCCCATCTTCAACTAAATATACACAAAAATATTTGGGTCTGATGAATCAAAAACCAAAGAAATTCATCAGTTTCTGTATTAAATGTAACATTTTTGATCTTGAGAATCATAGAAACCACTTCAAACGTCTATCAAAGTAATCAGTGGGAGCATTTGGGAATTAAACAAACCAGTAGAAACTGAGAATCCCAGAAACAAGTTTTGGCAAACTGAAATTAGTAATACCTTCTGGGTATTAAGTAAGGACTGATAAGAATTCCAAAAACAGATTTGGAAATGTGCAATACCCGAAACCAGCAGGGATTACAGAAAACAGAAAGGAACATTTGGGAATCCAGTAAACAAGCAAGCACCTTTGAAAAGAACTTATAGAAAATATAGAATGTCAGGAACTAACTGGGACGGAGAATCCCAAAAATCACTAGGTGGTTTAGGAAATCCAAGATATTAGTAGGAAATTTTGGCAACCCCAGGAGCTAGTGGGAACTTTTATGCACCCTGATAAAAATGTGAAGAATATGAAATCCTAGAAACCAGCAGGGATTCTGAAGAGCTCAGAAACCAGTACAATGTTTTGGGAATCCCAAAACCCTACAAGGAAACCTTTAAAAACCTTTAGGAATGCTAGAGATCAGTAAACTTTGAGAATCCAAGGAACCAAATTCCAGAGAATTCTACATACTACTAGGAAATCTGGGCGTCTCAGAAACCAGCAGGGACCTCTGAGAAACCAGTGGGAAGGTTAGGGAATTACAGAAACCAGCAGGAACCTTTAGGTTACCTGGTTCTGCCCAAAGCATTCTGGGAGTTGACCGTATCTGTCCGACTCTTCTTGGGTCTCGAAGGCTCAAAAGGAGGGAACTCTCCCCGCCTCTTCTTGCTGATGTCATCATCCCCTCCCGGTACCTCCCAGGTGAGCTGGGTGACAGGTGTGGGCTCGTCTGCGGCGGTCCGGTCCAGCTTGCGGATGTTGTGGCTGTATTTGGACGGGTCGTACTTCAGGGTTCGAGCTTTGCTGCCTTTCTTACCCCGGAGCTGCATGACGGGGAGGACTCGTCCAAATTTACTGACCACCCAGTCCTGAAACCAGAGCAGCCAGAAGACAGTCAACACTTCACCTGATGCTGCGTGTCACATACAGATGATTACCGTAAGTTCTCTAATAGCGGAGAGAGCCAGAACTTTATTGGAGACACGCTTTTATTGTTTAATATTGTCAGCAGATTGTTGAGTATGCCTCAACTCAATGATGGAATTAGTGCTGCGAGAATGTTTATTACACTGAATTTATCACTTATTTCGGCACAAACTGATAATTATTAGATTTTCTCTGTGTGTTATGTTTTTAGCTGTCAACCTCATATATTGCTTTTATTCTTATTCTTTATTTCTGCTATTTTTTACATGTATGTAAAGCACTTCGTAAACATTGTTTTTAAAAATGTGCTGTACAAATAAAGATATTTATGTGATATTACAACACGAAGGTGCCTCCATATTCCTGACCAGGAGAAAAACCAATACAGAAATGCAAAAGGTATGTTTAAGGTCATTTAAAAACATTGTCTCCAT